AATATTCCAAAATGGACCGAACTAGAGAACAATACAAAATTTTGAAAGTAAATATTGAAAATTCTCGGGAGTTCCTTTGAACAAAGCCGAGCATTCTATAAGCCCGCGATGTAATATTATTAATATGCCTATCAAACATTAGTCTTTGGTCAAATGTAATTCCAAGGTCTCTAATTTGATTTACTTCTGTAATCGATACTCCCTTAAGTATGTATGTTCTATATAACTGATGTTTAGTATTTCTGGAAAACGTAATTTTATAGCACTTTTTTATATTTAAATATAAGGCATTAATGTCACACCAACGAGATAAATTATTTAAGTCAGACTGAAGAGCATCCATATCAGAGGTATTTTTAATTGCTTTAAAGATCTTTATGTCATCAGCAAACAATAGAAATTCACTATTATTAATTACTGATGATATATCATTCACAAACAGATTAAATAGAAGTGGGCCTAAGTGAGAACCTTGAGGTACACCCGAAGTAACATTAATCGCTTCAGAAACAAAATTATCATATTTTACTATTTGTGAACGATCTGTTAAATAACTCGTGATCCAATCCAATAATCCAATAATTTTAATAAAGGTATTTTATAACATAAAAAAATTACCGTTTTGATTGTTTTGACTTTTGAATACTAAAAATTTACAGATTACCACTAAAGCTCTCCAAATCTCAAGTTCTTGTCAATATTCTTTACAATCAACAGTGCTAATTGCTAGGTTTTTATGACAGTTGTCAAAAACTAGTCTCGCCAACTAGATTATTTAAAAAATTGTTCTAACCACGATATGTTTTAACGACACAAAAGTATTTATTCTGCAAAAAAATATTTCGGTATAAAAGTTCAAGAATGAAAATTAAATAAATTTTTGATATGAGGTTGAATGCTCGAATAAATGAACTTTGAAAAATAAGGCAAATATCGAGCACAAGTTTAATCAAATCTTGTCCAAGTACTTTCGCTAGCTACAGCATCATCAGGGGCATCTGAAATAAGCCAAAAAACGCTTTTTAAAGTGAAGAAAGTTTGTTAACTTCGATAAAAACTCGAAGTAAATGGATGATAAAAGTTTTTTGTGATTAACAAAAAAATATATGAAAATGGACATAAATTGTACATAACACTACAGTAACAAAAGGACGAACAGTTTAAAATTATTAAGCTATTATAATTCATAAGCGATTTTCTATAGTAGCATCAGTTGGACCTTTGGTCAATGCCAGCTTACTTACACAGAATTTTAATATGTTCATATCAGATATCCATGATTATGACAGCCCATCAAAGCTGTCATATGTCATATGTCACCTTAGCATTTCCGTTAAATACCATTCTCTCTCCGATTGCCGACAAAAATGTAGAGCGTCAGAATAATTTTAATAATTTTAAACTGTTTGTTCTTTTGTTAATGTAGTGTTATGTACAATTTATGTCCATTTTCATGTGTATTACATTCTACGCTTGCTGGATAGCCTAAATTTGACGAAGTAAGTCTAAAACGTTATTCACAAAAAGTTAATTAACTTTTTTCATTTAAAAAAACGTTTCTTGGCTTATTTCAGATGCCCCTGATGATGCTATTTTAAGCGAAAATACTTGGGCAAGATTTGATTAAACTTGTGCTCGATATTTGCCTTAATTTTCAAAGTAAACAAATTTTGTTATACCGAATGTCCCATATTAAAGCAAAACCAATGTAACTACTTTTGTATTGTTGTATCGCAAAGTGTATCTCTAAACAATAAATCGTTATTAACAAACAGATCCTAGTAAGTAAAGTATAATAGATTTTAGAATTATTCTTTTCAAACCCTTTCCAACGAACTATCGCACGACTCCTATTCTTCTTCTTCATGTACCATGTCCTTTCAGAACGTTGGTTATCATCATAGCTATTTTAATTTTATTTACTGCCACCCTAAATAGCATGCTTGTATCTACACCATACCAATCTCGCAAGTTCTTCAACCATGAGGTTCTTCTTCGTCCTGGACTGCGTTTGCCTGTTATTTTTCCTTGCATGATATTTTGTAGCAATCTATGTTTGGGACCTCTCATTACATGTCCGAAATATTCCAGCTTTCTCTGCTTGATGCTTTTTATGATCTCAGTGGTCTTGCTGAGACTTTCAAGTATTGTGGAGTTACGAATCTTCTCCACCCAGGAAACTTTTAAAATTCTTCTATAGCACCACATTTCGAAAGCCTCAAGGCGATTTAGATCGATTTTATTCACAGTCCAGGACTCGACAGCATAAAGTAAGACCGAGAACACGTAGCAGCGAAGTAGGCGGATCCTTAATGCCAATTTTAGGTCTCTGTTACATAACACCTTGGACATCCTTCTAAAAGCAGCTCTAGCCTGCTCTATTCTGGATCTAATTTCGCCGTGATTTTCTGCATTACAATTTAATTGCTGTCCAAGGTAGACGATTTTATCAACTTGCTCAAGTTTGGTATTATTTAGATATATAGACGGTTTTATATTC